TTGATGACGAAGGTTGCGGGGGGAGAGGTGATGAAGGTGATGAGTAGGAATGTCTCAAGGAGATTGAGTGTTGATTTGGGTGGATGACGTACTAGTAGGCACTGAGGAGGGGGTAGTGGTTGCAGTGTTCGGAGCCGAGGTCAAAGGTGAGCCTGGGGTCGGGGAACCGGGAGAGTTTGAATTGGTGGCGCAATTTGATGAAGGGGCAAGCCTCATTGCCCCAAATAACATCTTCATTATTGGCCATGGTAAGCCTGGAGTATGTTGGGGAGAGAAACAGTCCCCCCTTCAGGGTCTCTCATGGCGAGCCGCCAGGCAGGGGCCCGGCCCATCTCTAGCTCCTCACGACAGGTTTGATCCTTCTGCCCAAGCCACGGCTTTCTTGGTCGTCCCACAGGCCTCCTCCACCTGGGGTTGCCTCGGACAGAGACAACCTGGTGGGCAGGGTCATCCTGTGGGAATCGAGGCAAATGGCCGTATAGCCTGAGTCGGCGATCACGGATTGTGCAAGTAACAGGTCTTGTACCAGTCTCACGGTGCAGCCGTTGGTTGGACACATGGTCCCGCTAACTGTAACCCATGATCCGGCGCAAGGATCTGTTACAAAAGGCATCAAGACGAGATTCCAAGGCACAAAATAGGGTCCAGGTTTTACTACCATATAGTAAAACTGGCAGTATCAGGGCCTTGAAAACATGTAGCTTGGTCCTTCTGCACAGGTACCGGCATCTCCAAATACTCTCATCGAGAGATTTCATGACCCCTGCTGCCAGGCCAATCCGTCTACTGACTTCCTGGTCTGACAGCCCAGAGTCCTGAACTGCACTACCGAGGTATAAAAAGCTCTCTGTAACTTCGATGTTTTCACCGCAAGCACGTACCGACTTTCCAGAGATTCAGATAGAATGGCAACATCATCAGCAAAGTTAAGGTCAGTAACCATGATATTGCCCAGAGTTGCTCCATAGTGACTTTGGACAGTAGCTCTACCCAGTATCCAATCCATGCAAGTGTTGAAAATTGTTGGTGCAAGAACACAGCCTTGCCTCACACCTGAACTAACAGGGGGGGAAGCTCGACAGGCCCCCACCACACTTTGCAGGACTTTCAGCTATTAATCCAACAATCCTTGTTGGAATTCCTCTTAGGCTCAGGATCTCCCAGAATGATTCACGATGCACCGTATCAGATGCCTTCTTGAGGTCGATGTAGGCTGCAAGCACCCCACGTCCGAACTCACGACGGCGGTCTATTGTGGACTTACCAGGAGTGAATCCAGAGAGCTCCAGCCTTTGTTGCCTCAGCAGGCGGTCTCTGGTACTTCTCAGTAGGATGTGCGCGAGTGCCTTGCCTGGTATACTGAGTAGCGCAATACCTCGGTGATTGCTGCAGTCCCACCGATCCCCTTTTCCCTTCCAGAGGGGGATGACCACGCCCCCCAGCAGGTCAGGGGGAATGGTACCGGTCTGCCAGATGGCAGACAGGACTGCATACAAGCCCCTTGCCATAGGTTCTCCACCAGCCTTTAACAATTCAGCTGGGATGCCACAAACACCTGCTGCTTTACCACTCTTCGGCTTGGAAATCGCCCCCCTGACTTCAGTCAGGGAGGGTGGATCCTCACTGATGGGTGAGTCTGGCAGAGGAATCTCAACATTACCTGCGTCCATGTTAACTGTTGGTGGATCAACCTGATACAACTGCTCAAAATACTCAGCCCAACGCACACGCACTCCATCAGGATCTGAGATTATCTGGCCACTTGCTGAGCGGACTGTAGTTGTCTGTGAGGAGGGCTTGGAGTTCAGCTTTCTCAATGCTTAGTAGGCAGGATGAAGGTTATTTACTACGAAATGCCTTTCGACTTCCTATGCAAGATTCCTGATAAACTGTTCCTTATCCTTTCTCATCAGTGTCCTTGTCCTATGCACGAGAGAACGGTGCAAGTTGCGATCCCTGACAATCGAGGCGCACGACAAGCATCTATGGCTTCCAGTGTCTCTTGCAAGATGGAATTCTGTCTTGCTCTTGGGCGTTCACCAATCGATTCATGGGCTGCATCAAGCGTTTCACGCTTAAAGGTATCCCACAGAAGAACAGGGTCCGTTAGGCCCTCAATTACTATGAAACAACCAGAGATAGCCTCGACAAATCCCCGGGCACACTCGTCCTCCCTCAGTCTGTCCAGATGAAACACCCTGGGGTGTTCATTTGGGCGACGGGGGGTTCTAAAGTTGACCCGGAGAGTAGCCACAACTAATCTAATATTGGTTCCACAGAACTCGGCGCTTCGATACACCCTGCAGTTCTGAAGGATCCTCCATCGAGTGCTAACAAGGATGTGGTCGATCTCCTTGGCCACACTACCCATATCGCTATAACAAGTTCAATGATGCGGGTCAGAGCACTGATACCAGGAGCAGGTGATCCTCAATTTCTGGGCCCTAGCTAAGTCACGGAAAAGTATGCTATTCTCACTGCCAGCATCAGCTCCGGAGCCATGAGGACCGATAGACATCTCATAGCCAGCTCCATGGCAGCCAGATGCCGCATTGAAGTCACCCAGAACAATATGAATATCTCGCCGAGGACAGCTGTCTGACACAGATGCAAGTTTGGCATAAAACATCTCTTTCACCTCAAGTTTATATAAATCCGTAGGAGCGTACACAGCAATAAGAGACATGAAGCGAAATGAAAGCTTCAGTCTCAATACATAATACATAATATGCTCATCGACTGGAGTGACCTCTACTACCAAGAGTTGGGCTCTGGTTACTCCCTGGAGATGGTGGCCATCACTGCGGCCCGACCAGTAATAGGTGTAGCCACCCACACTAATTGTGCCACTGCCAGGTCTTCTCACCTCCAAGAGAGCAGCCACCCCAACTCTCAGCTGCTTCAAATCCCTCGACAGTAGTGGTAACCGATCGTCCTGTCGCAAGGAATGGACGTTCCACTCATCTACCCTGACAGCCCGCCTGAGGTCTAACCTCGAGCAGTCACTCAGGGTGGGTGCCACCTCTGCCACCCCTTCTGACGCCGCCCCATATAGAAGAGGTAGGCTGGCTGCAGGTCCCATTATCCCTAGGGCTTTCCCCCACAAGCTTCATGCCAGGTTGGCGGCCGCCGGGATCCAGATGGGATGACGGGTAACCCCCACTCCCTACCCGAGTCCCAGCAGTCGCCAACCCAGAGGAACTCACAGCCCGCCGTACTTGCTGGGTTTGAGGGAATTTAGGCCTCCCCCTAGCACCAACAACTAAATGCTTGGGTGCTAATACGATTATCTCGGGGAAGCAGACTGGCAAGGCCTGCCTCCCCACAGCCGCCCAGGGGGTACGGGGTCAGGAGTTAGTATGAAGCCAGGGCGTGCCCACACGTGTCCACTCCGTACCTTTAGGGCCTCCTCCTGCTTCAAGAGCCTCCACAGTTCAGCCTAGGACCGCAAGGTGCCTAGTTTCCATGGGTGGCCATGAGGAGGCACTGCAGAAGTCTTGATAATGGAGAGGCTATGAGCTGCTCAGGGGGGGGGGGTATGCTGGACAAAATCTACTCTTGGTCCATATACAATTTCAAAATAAAAATTTGAACATATGCTATCACATTATTTTATTTTATTTTATTTTTTTACTTTACATATCATGTTATGCAAAATGCTCCAACTTCATCATATGTATTTTAATGCTGTAGGTTAGCGTAGGTCACGGCAAAATGAGACACTTAAGATTGAAATAAGTATTTATAAACGATAATTGCTAAATTAATTTTAAAAATGTTTATGGTATTCTCCAACCTCATAATTATACTGGTAGAAAGAATAATAACAATGCAATTACAGGTTTCATAAAACTTTAAGTTTTGAAGCCTCGTGTGCTTGCGTCTTATTTTGGCCCACAGCTGGGGCAAAATGTATTATCCATAAAAACAATGTTTTATGAATTCTATGTTGGAAGACAGTATTAAAGACAGAAAACATTAAATTAGAGTTTGGGTTAGGGGTAGGATGACGTGTCTTGTTTGAGATTTAGTGAGTCATCTGATTTAAAGTTCTCATGCTCCACGGTCCAAGCAGATGTGTGATGTTTTCCTGTGTTTCCCTTTTCTTTTATTGCCTTAACCCATTGCCGCCGGGGATGGCATGTATGTACATGCCATGCCCACTGTGAGTCGACTTGTTCGATTGTTTTTACACATAGATGGCTACACTTGTACTAAGTATCCAATGAGCCAATTACAGTACTGCCTGTCTCGCCCGTTCACCCTTTTCATCGATTTACGAAAATATTTAACGTTATCCTTATTTGCTGTTAAAAATAACACCATCTATATTTATAGCACTAGTAAGAATACGTTTTTCCCGCCAATTCAAGGAAAGTTGAAATCAGGACTAGAAGAGCCATCTATGGACAGAGATATTTCACAAAAATATAAAAAATGAGTAATGCACTTCCCCCATTTTTTGTTCATTTTCCCCGGGCTAATTGTTTTTAATTACATTGTCAAACCATTCTTCACGAAGTAGTCAATTAGTCATGTAGAAGTAGAAGCAGAAATCAAATATTTGTTGTGAATAGTAATCATTCTCACAATTGACAACAGTCTTGAATGCTCCGAGGGTCTTCTCATGGTGGGAATCTTGGCTGACATTTTTTATCTGATTTTTCAACCGCCTATGGAGAGCATCCTTAGGCACCTCAAACGTCTGAGTTGCTTTTCGAACTGATAACTCTATTATTTCTTCCAGCTAGAATGGCAAGTTTCATCTTATCCTCGTCCCAGTTTGCCCTTTCAGTCTTTCTTTTAAGAGAACGCACCATCTGAAAATGACATTTTAAATGACTTGAATATCATGACATTAAATATTCCTTAAAAGCAAATTTACTGTATTAAATTCCATGTCGTGAAAGCCCTTAGGTTGGCCTAAAGCCTGTCTCGTTTTGCCCCGGGGTATTTGATAACTTGAGAAGAGAAAATGTGGCAAAAGGAGTTGGACTACA